TATTCAAAAAGAAGTTTTGGTTCAAATGTTAAAATTTCCACTTTCAGTTACAAGTCTAGGCCTTAGACACAAGATAAACACAATCAAAAAAAGGAACAAAAAAACAAACCAAGCAACCAAACAAAAAAGAAGTATGCAGCCTATGGCCTCTGGGTTGTACCCAACCCATCAGAACAATCCATCCAGCCCAATCCTTGCTCTGGAAGTCATGAGACAGAGCACAGTGTCGGGCACAGAGATGAACTTCTCCAGCTGTTTGTTCACCAAATGCTGCCAAAGGATCCCTCCTCCCCCTTCACCCCCATCATGGAACTTGAGCTGTGTCCATCACATGACTAAAAGGGAAGTATTCCCCATCACAGAAAATACGTCTTAATCACCTGAAAGCATGTATGGAGATTGTCCACATTACAATGCTTCTTGTAAGCTTGTCAGGTACGTGTCAGTCACATTTCACCCCAACATGGATCCTCCTGGTGAGGAGAGGAGTGTGCACCTAAAGAGTCAAACTCTTCAGTGCCATGGAGCTCCTCCATTAGATGTTACAGAGCTTACTTAAAACAATGTGACACTTAACTTGCTTCAGAAAAGACGAAGAAAGTTTGAGAGTTACCATCTACTTGTGACCGAGTTTGAAGAAATTATTCTATTCAAAATGTTTGTTTGAGTCTGACCTGTTTTTTCAAGTTTCACACTCTTTTAACAAACAGCTGAGGTTGAAGCTCATGCTCACAGTGCTTAGGAGCCTGTTTTTGAAGACTATTTTTCAGTAGCATTCTGCATCTCCAAAATTGGGTGGGTCTTTAAAAATAACCTTCATAGGAATACAGTGAAAAGGAAATAGTGCAGAAGCATAAAAATAGACTCAGAAGTCCAATAGCAAACTATAAATCATTCATTTCCATCACACACTGACTTGCAACAACACTTCTGCTTTTACTAAAGAAAGGAGTTCAGAACATTTAGGGACAGGTTCATTCATTCTAACCTGAGACCATTTTAACTTGCTCCCAAAACAAAGATATCACAGGAGACCATGGTGTAAGTTATCTGTCTTAGACAGACTCCAGTACTATCTCACTGGGTTGAATGAGTGAGGTTGTCCAAGTCCCTTGAGAACCAAAGGCAGATCTCAAACAAGTTTGGGTCCTACTGATGGCAAGTCTACTGCACAGCTGCACTCCTCCTTATGGAAACACATTAAGTTTGTACCAGAAAGTTATAGGCAACAAGATGAGTTGAAATGGGATGGGGTAGGGAGGAGGGTAAAAAGGGGCTGAATGGCTAAAACCGAATCAAGTGATAGAGGAGCACACACTGCATCTGCAGTCATTGCAAAGGCTGTCTGCTTGGCCCTGCCGTCCCCAGCACAGTACATTAGTTTGAGACAAGATTTTTTGTTGGAATTAACACAGTTCACATTACTTGGCTAGCCTCCAAAATTCATTTAACGCTTACTGTGATCAACATATTGACCAGTCACACCCACTGTGTGGCTCCAAAAAAGTAAATAAAATTACACAAGAGAAAAACTTAGAAAACCATATAGTCTGCGTTTGCTACAGTAAAGGTGTATTGGTTGTGGTGAAGAAGAATGAACACATTCCAGATCATCTGATTGTAATGATAGGAGTTGAATTTGATCCAACACAACTGGAAAAGTGTTTTTGACTGAAAAGAAAAAAAACAACTCACCACCAAGAATTCCAATTCTTGCGAGTAATATATGAACTGATTCAATATAGAAAATGCACTTTAATTCTGTGGTCAGAAATTGGTCACACCCATACATGTCAAAAAAGCAGTTTGACTTATGTGCAACTTATCTTTATTTTACCAAATTTTACTATTAATATACTTAATTTCTAGTACTATCAGATAGTAGACTCCCCATGTTCTGTAGGGAATCTGGTTTCATAGCCCAACTTGCTTCCTTCTAGGACCCCTCTAGGACAATCCCATCATGTTACTGGATTAAAAAAAAAATCAAATGCATATAACCATCCAGTGAATAATGCAGAATCAACAGCCCATAAAATGAAACCCTAATTTAAAAGTATAATATCACCTTGTTTGTTTTCCGTAACAGCCTCAATTGTATTTTTCTTGTTTGTTTTCCGTAACAGCCCCTCTATTTTTCTTGTTTTCAGGGGACCTATACAGATGGGACCTCAACTATGAAAAGCCAGTGTAACCAGCTGTATGCCATTTCAAGGCAGGCAAAAGTACAGAACTAACAGGCATAAGAAAGGGATCTCCCCTTCCAATTAGCAGAAGATCCAAAGCGGTTTGCAAATGGGGAGATATGCACCAGAAAGAATGGCAGGGTTTAGGTATTTGGACATCTTTCCCAATTTACACACACTTCTTCCTTGGACTAAGTGAAAATGTTTAATTTTAGGAGAGTTGCAAATTTTCCAAATTAGACAAAGTCTGTTTAAACAAAGTTTTGTGTTTAAAATAAAACTTCTCCTTGAGCTCAGGCAATTGTATTGCTAACAACAGAATTTCTAGCATAATAGTAGCAACATAATACAGACACTAACTGTGTTAAGAAATCATAACCTATCATTTAGCTATAGAGATGTGTAGTCTTTATGTTGAGAAACAATGCTTACAGATTACATTCCACAGTCGGGCTATTGTCCTGCATACTTTGTGGACCACAAACTCACAGGGAAGCTGAGATTCTGTTATCTCTAGTAAATCAGCAATAATTAGACAGTATATGTGCAGAAAAAATAATCAGATTCATAATAAGGCATAAGAAAATTCTAGATTAGCCTTTTATAAGCAAACCTAAAAATTTTAAGGAGAGCACTACATTGCACATCAGGTTGGAAAGCAGATCTAATGGCCATATTAGCTTCTAACGAATTAGAATGGCCACATTAGTTTCTGTTCTGTGCAGCAGGAGACCGGAACAGAACTCATCCTTTTGTCATGGAAAGGACTGCAGGATAGCTAAGCCCTTACAACAGTACCTGTGGGTTGACCCTGTACACCTGTCCTGGAAGAGCAAAGACTCAAGTCTTAGCATAGGCATAACTGGAGAAAAAGACATTAAAAAATAACAGTTCAAGGTACAATCAACATTAGCACTCACTCACATGTATCCCTTCAAAAAAGTAGACTGAATGCTTTCAAAATCCCCAAACTGTAAGCACACAACCTCTAACACACTAGAGGTATTAATTGAGCAGTGGAATAGAACTGTTCACATCTCATTTTACATAGCTTTCGAGTTGGGTGAAGCTGTGTGTGTTCTGTTGTTGCTTGTGTTTAAAAAAAAGCAGAAAAAAGAAAGAGAGAAAAAGAAGTTTCTCCAAAACATATGTGTAAGTGGCTAAGCATGATACAAGGCTGACTTAAAGCAATTCTGACTATGAATCAAAAGAGTTTTCTTAAGCCACCATCATTGCGACCTGAGAAAACTACTGCTTTTCCTTTTGTTTTAATCAAATCTTATAAATAAACCTAGGATGAAGCTGTTCTTATGTCATTTATTTTCCTATGGACACAGGTAAAACCTGACTATCACCAAAAGCAGTATTTATAAACACTCCTCGGGAGTGCCCGAGATACTATACCAGACTGCATGCTCTATAATCAAGAAGCTTAGCATAAACTAAAGGCACTAGTACCTCTATGTACAAGGTGAACTAGCTGCTACTGTAAACATACTTTTTCTTGTTCGTGTCTCTTACTAGCAGCCAATGGCGTGACAAGTAGCAAACTGTTCAGGAGCACATCTATCCTTTTAAGCAGAAATGGGAGTTAACAGAAAAACACAGCCAGGAGATTGAAAACAGTAATGATCTATGGTGGGAGAGCAAAGAGGAGGAAGAAAAGTGGGTGGACAGCAGCTGAGCAGCAATAGCAAATGGAAGGGGTTGGGAGGCAAAACAGAGCAGATGAATAGGGAAGGAGACAAATGAGATGTGAAAAGAGATAGAAGACAAACTTACCAAGAGTTAGTCTAAAACAGCGGTTCTTAAATCATAGCTCAGCCAAAGGAAATTACAAAGTCCGCCTGACAGGAAGAGTAAATTACAATGCTGCTGTCAGCATCTTACTTCTTGAGTGGTGTTGCCAAGACTCAGCCATGGCTGGGAATTACTGGCCTGCCGCGTGGCCGGTGCAAGTGCTGTAATGACTTTGTTAGCTAGGTGTCTCATGAATAAGAGGAGTGATGCAGCAGAGAGTAAGCATATGGGAATGGGAAAAGGAAGGAAAGGAGAATCACCAGTGAGCTCAACTGGAAACGCCATCAAGCCTTTATTAACTGGTCTGCACACCAAGATAGCTACCACACAAGTTACACTTAATCTGAAGCATTATGAAAGCTGGAAAACATTTTGTTAAACAGAGCCCCAAAACCTTTTCAGGAGTTGACGTGAGCTCCTGTGCAAAGATATGCAAATTATATAAAAACAAAATCTAAGGTAGACACAAACTTTTCATCCAGCATTGTTCAAAAATTCCTGAAATGGTAACTGATGAAGAAAGAAAACTCTAGACGGGCAATACATGCAATGAAAGGAGAACTGTGATGCAGTGGTCCAGGGTACAACTGCAGTGCTTTGGCTTATTTTAATTCATTAAAGACATTAGACACATAAAATAACATGCTGCCCTTATAATCTGTAGTATCTTGGTCTAGTAAGTCCAATCAGAATAAAAGTGCAAAGAGAAAGAAAGTTTCCTGAAGATACCCATCCTAACTGACCTTCACCAAAACACAACTAAATATTGAAGAGACTCCAGGTACGGATTCACACAGCTTCCTCCTCTCCCCTGATAATCCAATCCAATAATGCAAGTAAGAATTAAATTATGTTTTACAGGTTTTTATCATTGAGTATAGTGTAGCATTAGCCTTCCACTGGGCTGACTTACACTGCATCTTTAGCTCAGAGGAACCTGGACAGAAGTTAAAGGCCTGTTTTCACTGAGAAATACTACCAAAAAGACAGAAAATGTATAAGCTGAAAACATACCGTGAGTGTCTCTTCTGTACTTCTTTCTCTTTGTACTGAAGCAACTGGAAATTCAAGAAGGGATTTTACTGTCTTCCTTTTGGCTTTTTCCATTTGAATATTAGTAAAATAGTTGACAGCAGCAAACTCAATAAGAGCAGAGAACACAAAGGCAAAGCAGACCGCTATGAACCAGTCCATGGCAGTAGCATAAGATACTTTCGGCAGTGAATGTCTTGCACTGATGCTCAGTGTCGTCATTGTCAACACTGTGGTTATTCCTTCAAAGAAATAAAGCAAAAGCACTACTGAATCACAGTAAAAGTGAGAACAGGCAAGCAGCTTCAAACAAAGAATTTTAAATGTCTTAGGAGTCTTTCTGTGCTGCTTGTGAATAGTGCATGACATTTAAGTCATGGCAACCATTATATACCTGTGAGCACCTATGTACACAAAACAGTTAACCAGTTTTTAAAGGAGGCCTGGAAAGCCATGACTTTAAGCAGATCATCTACCATTCACATGAAGAAAATGTGGAAGCCTTAATTTAATATTTTTTTCATGTCAAGTTCAATAGAATTTCTTACAAGTTATTTTCTAAACATTTGAACATAATTTAAGTTGTTAAATAGGTGAGTGCTCCTCAGACTGCAACAAAAACATGATTTTTCCTGTAATGGGTTCAGAATGCCACCTGTTAGTCTGCATCTGTTCCTCTGATCCCACTTGTAATCCAGGTGTCATTAAGTCATGGCGAATTATTTTGGTGGTAAGGAAAACTAGAATATTAGGTTAATAACTCTGTTAATTAAGAAACCATCATCTTATCTTACTTAAACCAATGAAATGTAATTAGAATTTCACCTTCTGAAAGAACAACTTTTTAATTAAAGTGTACAAGCATGAACACTGAACTCAAAAGAAGACCAGTTCATGATAATACTTAAATGCAAATACACACTATACAAAACTAATGTATGGGGTAATTTTTTCCTTTTTCATTCAAAATATCCCATACCACACAAATGCAAAATACTGAGTATATAGTGAACACTGCATAAATCCTACCATGATAACCTCAAGGAAGACTGACTACAAATGGAGATGTCATTACTCTTATGAAAAGAACACTGTACCCATTTTAATTCAGGATGAAATGCATACGGTCAGAAGAATTCAAAATAATTAGGAGCATGTTTTCCAACAGGATCCTCACATCCCCTACATCCTAAATGGTGGTATTCCAATAGGAAAAAGCTTCACCTAGACACTGCCATACAGAGAACTGGACACAATGAAACCAGTCCTTCCTATTGAATGAGAAGAAAAAAAAAAAAAAAAAAAAAAAAAAAAAAAGAGTAATAGCCAGTTCATGAAAGCACAAAGAATATCTCAGAGCAAACTCATCAGGATAAAAGCACAGATGCAAGCTCACAAAACCTTCTTCAGTGGGAAGGTGTCGAAAAACACACCACTGAAAATGTTTAAGTCTGAGAAAAAAAAATTATGGAAAGTAATTTTTTTTTTCCTGAAGGACACCCATCCCTGCTTAGCCCTATCCTTCCTGATTCTACCTTTGTCCACTTCAAGTAAACAGTTTGTCTTAACTGTCTTTCTAAGGACATTCGTTTAATAGATGTCAGAATAGGGTGAAGTGACTTGAATGACCAACTGTTCCCCAAATACAAGGGAGAGAGGGGAGGCCATGACACTATTATAGTTTACTCCCATAGTCTTTATCAGATTTCTCTCTACTAAATCATTCTTCTGGAAGACTTGCAGTTCCCACTGCAACTGCCCTTGGATACATGCCATAGGGATTTACAGGGTAGGGAATTAAGTTCTGGTAAAAAAACCTATATATACACATGAAGCATCATTATCCAGAGCTAAATACTTGCAAGCTTCTGATTAGAAAGATGTATAACCTTATAAAATATATTAAGATTATTTTAATATAAAAATTGATGTTAAAAACATGTTTTAAAATTACCACTGTCCTTCCTCTAAGAAACACCAGTCTCACACAATCACCAGATTCAAGCACCTGAAGCTCTGACTGCAGAAATCACAACCTGATGTATCCTTCCTCTGTTACCTTTTCCAAGTTCTCCCTAATCATGCAGTGTCCAATAGAAAGATCTTTTTGTTAGCCTCTTCTGACAGTTCCTCTAGAAAGCTGGTCCCATAGCAGGTATTCTGGCTTCATTCCTATCTCTTGCCTGCAACATTTCTATCTTCTTTTAAGACAACCTTTAGAAAACACAGTTCCTGTTGCAAATTGACAGAAAACTAAAAAGATACTCTTAGCCATACTTTAAGCCACTCGCTTTCAAAGGCATTTTAAAGACTTAACTGCAACTTAGTGGATGTCCAAACTTTATTTGTTTTTCAGTTTCACATATGGATATAATGACACATATCTATTGCTCTATAATATGTAAATTTTTAACCATCCCATTTTTTCTACAAATACAGATTCTACCTTTCCAGCTCATGGCAATACTCCCTTCAAAAAAAGTACTGTTATTCAACATCACTGCAAAAGCATGTGAAGCGATATACTAGTTTGCCTAAGGCAATGCTTAAGTTGAGAGCTAGTGGGGTTCTTATAAGAGCAACAACCCGTAAACCTAATAACTAATCATTAACCTAAACAGTACTAAACAGTGTTCCGACTCCACTTACATGTCTGAATGGGCCATCATGTAGAAACATTAATTCCTGTCACTCTTGCCAGCATCTATTTATCTATAGAACGGCTTTTTGTAGAACATTCTCTTCCTGATTAGTCCTACTTTAAACTACAGTACATTATAAAGTCAAGACATTGCTCTATAAAGACTGCTTTAAAAAAATGTTTTTATCCTACTTCTTTGTTAGGAATCATGTTTCCATTTACTTTCTATGTTTTGTCCTCCATAGAAGCTTTTTTGGTTTGTTTTGTTTTTAATTTTCAGAGTTCACTGTAGCCTCTCATTCAAGCTGTATTTTGATAAGGGCAATTTTAATATCCTGCGATCACTTTGCTTTTTGAATTCATTTTCATAACAGCAATGGCATAAAACAGAGAAGAGCACTAAACATGAAATTACAGTAACAGGATCTAAGTCTTACTCATGGCAAGCTTCCACTGATGACTTCACTGATAACTTGTGAGAAGACATCTGTACATCTCACACACTGCAAATCAAATTATTTCAAAAGGATTTTAGAAAGTGTGAGTTCAAGTAATTACACTGCTGTTCACTGGAGGATAAAACTACTATGGATATAGGCTAAGGACTTGACTGGATTACTCAGGGCCAAGTCTTCCCAATTTGTTCCCGCAAGCAGGTAGAATCCCCACAGACGTACATCCATGTGCCACAGGCAACCATGTCACCCTTCTGGTTTAATATTCCAAGTTTTTCTTCAGATTCCAAGGATTCACATAACACATTCTTCATACATTGACAGCAAAAATTCCTCTGAATTTACTTTATTCTGCACTAGCACAGAGGCACTGTACCCGCAGGCACAAAAAAAGGCCTATTCAAGTGAAAGTCATTAAAAGAGGAAGTACTAGAAAAAGTAAAAAAAGAAATAATTACCAAACACAGTTCTAGCCGGAACAGACTCCTTATTTATCCAAAAAGAAACTTGAGAAAGGATCACGGTCATAATGCATGGTATATAGGTCTGAATCATAAAATAACCCATTTTCCGTCTGAGGTGGAAGTAAACTGTCATAACAATATATTCACCTAAAAAAAAAGAAAAAAGAAAATATTTTTCTGACTGTGCATAAAATTTTTGTGTTGTAGAATAACTGTTTCAGATTATCAACTAGGATTGTTTAAGATTATGCTATTCATACCACTTAATGTGTATAGAAAGATATATTCCTCAGAAATAAGAACAAATGAAAGCTATAAACAAAAAATCCTGGAAGTAGTAGGTCCTTACAGTGCCATTCTGAAGCTGCTATCAAAAGCACTATAAATATACGCTAATACTGGATCTCTTTTTACAGTATAACTATGATTTTAAACAATTCTTTTGTCTTCTGTTGAAGAGTCCCAAGACACAACTTGTCTACCTACCATAGTATCCAGAACATTGTGGTACCTACCTGACAAATAAAACAACAACAATGATGCACATCAAAATACATGGAAGCATCTCAGCTTTTTACTAGGTTTATGCATCAGCACCAGTATGATAATTTAAAAAATGGAAAATCATTGAGAAGAATTACAAATATTGTAAGTTTATCTAAAATGTTATTATTCATATTAAACCAAAAAAAAAAAAAAAAGCAGTTTTACCATAAACTGAATAAACTGTCTCAATAAAGCACTACAGAATGAGCATTCTGGGGACAGTAAGGAAATTCTGCTGTTAACTCATAATAATCAATATGTCGAGAAGCAAATTTCTCATGTACTGCAAACCGCTGCTTTATCTTTGAGAAAAATATCCATGGAGCAATACATCAAATATATTTATCTGTTTTATTTTGACCACAACACACAAACTTGCTGATGCTTAGAAAATTATTCCAAATTTTAAAAATATTTTGGGAATACGCTTGTTTATCACCACACTGCTCATCAGTGACACTTCACTCATTTCAGATGCCTGTAGTTGCCATTTGCCTTATTTCTTAAAGCACAAGTCAGCAGAAGTATCTATTGTGACTAATGCATTTGTGCCTATCCTTATGTGACTAGAGGGTTTTTATGGCTTTAATAACCCATTCTGTATGCTGTACTTCTATCCCAAGCTGTTTGCCTCGCCAAACAAAGGAAGTCTTTTGCACATAATGTGGATACAGTGCTGAAAGATTACTTCCTCACCCAGGCATCCTCTTGACTCTTCAAACTGCATTTTAAGCAGTGATTAAATGCTCATTTTGTCCCTCGGAGTAATGATCTCATTCTAGCTTTCTGAAAGAGCATTGCAATCTACTATAATGAATCTGCAAACGTAAATCTGAAGGACAGAAACCTAATTCAGATTTATGTTCTCAGCCCTTAATATATAGCCCATGACATTCAGTAGAATACCTTACAGAAAGGAAAGAAAAAAGCCTCAGGCAACGTTACAGGGTTAGTTTTACCTCAAGTTGATTTTTACTGACGAGATTCCTACCTGTGATAGATTTAATGGATAATGAATCTGCAAACGTAAATCTGAAGGACAGAAACCTAATTCAGATTTATGTTCTCAGCCCTTAATATATAGCCCATGACATTCAGTAGAATACCTTACAGAAAGGAAAGAAAAAAGCCTCAGGCAACGTTACAGGGTTAGTTTTACCTCAAGTTGATTTTTACTGACGAGATTCCTACCTGTGATAGATTTAATGGTTTCAGTGGATACCGTATGCCCAAGCAGGTCATACTGAACTAAACTGGAAGACTCCTCAGGAACTTCCACTGACTTCTCAGGTCCTTTCGTCCAGGTATAAATCATTTCACTCTTTGGATAAGCATCTACAACACATCATCAGTTTGCATAAATAGGAAACCTCTTCTCACACTTTTCTAGAAGCCCAATCCAAACCTACTGAAATCAAATGCCAAGACTCACACTAACAACTTTAGAAGATACCCTTCATGTTAAGTTACCCCCAAAAACCACCCTCAGAGGAGAATAAATAGGAACTAAGGTCATATGCCAAGTGTGACGCACAAATTCACTTCACATTTGAATGTGAAGTCTAAACACAAGTAATTTTTCTGGATCAGCCCTCACTGGGCATGTAAGGTTTATCTTTAAATTAGTTTAGAAATTTCTATTTAAAATTTTATCATTATAATATACTAATACATAAAAAAGAGCATGTATAGGGAAGATACATTCTGGAGACTGGGTGCACATTTCTTTACAGAAAAAGACTGATTATACTAAAAACTATAAAATTTTAAACTTGTGTTTAACATATTTGCAAGAAAGCAGCAGTAAAAAATTCACAATAACCCCAAAATAAGCACACCCAAAGAAACATTTTACATATAATACAAAAGACATAACTTAGGGCTAGCATTCAATCCCTACACAGCCCAAACTCCTGTTAAAATCAAGTTAAATCAGTCTTGCATTTGAAATGGCTACGTCTTATTTCAAGTTTCACTGAGGAAGATATCAGATTAGTGTCAAGTGCAACTTCTGCTGGTTGGTGATTCTGCCTGAAGAAATACGCCTGTGGAGAAACCCCCACATTTGAAGCTCCCCTATCGTATAGTTGATACCAAAGCCAATTCTGGCAGCATCTGGTCTCCAGTCTCACTGTAACAAGGATGAAAAACCTTATCAGAGTAGTGTCTTTAACATCCCCCTTGTGGTTGACTACCCAGCTCTATAAGCTAAATTTCTGCTACAGAAAGACCATGAGTAGCTTCTAGCCATTCTAACCTAAGGGCTCTGGGGTCAAAGAAAATAGATTAATGTCCAGCCACTGACTACATCGACGTGTAAAGCAGAGAAGTCAGCAACCAAGGAGGCTTAGAAAAGTGACAAAATAGTTAATGAAGTGCACTAACCATCCCCAGGTGCTCTCAGAGGTCTCTGCTACAGATTCAAATCACGGAATCATAACTACATCCCTTAGCTGTTAACGCAGTATGTCCTAAAATGTTCCTTCTAGCCAAAGTTTGGAGATTATCCAAAAATCTACATCTGATTTCAAACCAGAAAAGGAAAGTCATGTGCACTAAGATTCCTCTCACCAGTCTAAAAAATACTTACCTAGACTAAACTTGCCATGCAGACTCCCATTACAGGTGAGGAGACAGGAGACAAATAAATACAACTAAAGATCAAATCTTTCCTTGAAAACTACACATCTGATTTAGGATGTCAATGTGCCTCCACTGACATAGAGGAAGTCAAATAACCTGCTGCCCTTGGTGCCTTTTACCTGGCTCTTGGATGGCGAGACCGATCCCACCTTCTTTGTCTTCTCCAGAGAATCTCTCACTTCACTGAGTATCTAATTTCTCCCTAAGAATCAAGAAAAACTATGTATTTCTAGAAACCATGTAGCCAGAATAGTGGTGTTTAACATAACAGCAGAATTACTGCCTGCTTTTCAATTCTCTGCCTGGGTTTAATTTTTCAGGTCCTAAATAAAATTCCAAAGGAACTTAACAGGAGTTTTGTCTGCATAAGGATTGTATATCAAGACTAATATTCAAAAAGTTTAGTAATCATCCAAAATCTACTTCTACTATTTTAATTCTGCAGTTACAAGAAATTTGATAATTGTAACTTACAACTCCCAAATTTGAGAGGACAAGCATGACCATCCATGGGAAAATCCACTAATCTCATGGGACACTCTGCACTTATTGTAAGCCTATAATGGAACAAATTAAATAGTCTCTGGTTGCCATTTTGTCTAGGCAGTATAACTTTTTGCATACAGTAATTGTACGAAGCTGAACAAACAAGTTAGATACCTCATTGTGTACAGGATGGTGCCATTTCTCATTATTCTGAAGAGTTTATTTGGGGCTGTCATATTATGTGCAACAGACTTTTTCCCATTCCTGAAGAAAGTGTCAGGAGTCCACACCTTCGAAACCATCAAGTTATTAAGTCTTAAAATTTCAATAGGACCATCATATTTTAATCTTTTGTCTACCCATGTCTGACGGAAGAAGACATCCATTGTATACTCCTGCATTAAATTGCAGAAAAGCAAATATCAAATTCACATGTATAAGTGTTTTCTGTAAAAAAAAATAAATCCTTTGGGAGCAAAGAAATCAGTAGCAAAGAAAATGCTAAGCCCACTACACAAACATATTTACAGCAATTAACGTGTGTTGTGTACTTCCTAATAGTTTAATTTCCCACATTAGTCATATCAATAAATTGCTACACATATTTAATCATTAAGGAATAATTAATCTAATTAGGTTGCAGGAAGCAGGCAATTGAATTTGTAGTCAATCATATAACTGCAAACCAAATTATCTCTGACAATAAGAGTCAATAGTTTTTTAAAGAAAAGATATCCATGGGTTAATTCTGCTGCTCACTGAATTAAAACTACCAGGACAAATTATTACTTCCACTTTAAAGTCAGGAAAGAAAATTTACATTCAACTGACGGAAAGCAAGCTTTTAAATGAGAAAAGCTAAATATTTCCTTTGTCATGCCCACAAAACATGGATAAATATGCACATACACACATTGGGTTTTGACTATGGAACTTCCCCAGAAAAGCCATTCAGACATGCAAACAACAACTGCAGAAATGAAGACGCAGGCACATCATGAGAAATCATATATGAATGAATGGACAAAGGAACACATTTCTCATCTCTGGAAGGTAAAGCATTTCACAAAAAAAAAAAAATAATCATGGGGCACTGAAAATGGTAAAACAGAAAGCTTTAAGTCCTTTCTAACTTACAGTTGTCATTTTGCTTTTAAGCCAATCTTTTCTGACTTTATTTCAAGCTCTTCTGCGTAATGTTACCATTGAAACTACTTGTATGGCCATATCTACTCACATGGGCAAGGAGGCATGTCTACTAGTGCAATGCATCTTAGAACTGTATCTGTCTTCTTTTCTATGGCTGTATCCTCCACTGTGGCTTATAGTTAATCTATGAAAAGTCTCTTTTCTAGTGTCATTTCTTGCTGGTGACTTCATAGCTCATAAGTAGCAGTTTCTGATACTAGCTTCTACATGACAGACTTTGTAATACGAGATTTCAACCCTTTTCATTACACTGGGTACCAAAGCAACCCAGCTCTGAAAAGACATTCTGAACATCCTCTGTACTAAGGTTACATCACACTTTGCCACTTCAGCAAGTTTTAGGAGTGCAGCCACATTCAGATTACATTGGGTCACTAACAGATACATTAACTAAAAAGCATTCCAAAAGCAGTTCCTAGATCCCTGAATAGCCTCCTAACTAATCCCTAATGATGAAAATAGAAACTCCTCTTGTAAACTCTGCTTTTGCCAACTCCTTACCTACCTTCAGCCCATGTTCTCACACCTGCCTTCTCCAATATAACTAATAACTTCCCATGTGGCACCATGTCAAATGCTTCACTGAAACCTGAGAGATGCCATGCAGCCCTCATTTTAGATTTGAGGCACACATTACTAGATTTTCTTGTAGTCCTCGTCACACTGAACAGCATCAAACTATACGTGACAACCATTGAGGGGGTAAGATGCATTTCAACATGAGACTGCTGTCACGAATCTAGCCCTTGAAAAGATATCTTGCTATCACATACCTTTCCTTTGGTAGAAGCAAATCAGGTGCACCAGAAGTGCATGACAGCACCGCATGGGAAGAAAGTTACTGCCCTGAAACTGCCTTTCCCTTAAAAAAGTTCAGGACAAATATATAATGCACATATGGCTGTTATTTCCATGTGATTTCTTGGATATTTTATAAAAAGATAAACTGTTGTGTGATTTAAGGGTATACCACTGGATTACAGAAGGTGATGACAGTTATGCTGGATTTGACCTCAAATGAATGCAGATGTCATTCAGGCACAAATAACAGTACGTGCAAATGTAACATTTCTCTTCTGTGACTATTTCATGCATGTCATTTTGATGCTCAATTTCTGCAGACACTTATGAAAACTCTTATCAGTCAAACATTCACTGGAAGAGATGCTAAAAGGGGCACAAAGATCAGCAAAGGGCATTCATCTGAAATGAAAACGTCAACAAGTATTTGTGAAATGATGTCATTATTATTCACCTGAGAATAACACAAGTTTCAGAAAGGAAAAGCAATTTCAAAGATACTAACACGTTTTCCCCACAGTAGACTGACTTAGACAATCCCCGCAAGGCCTGATTCTGCCTCTACACCATGAAAGTCTGTTTTAAATCCTACAAAGTTAATGCCTTAAGCCAGCCAAAAAACAGTGAAAGTGTGACCAGAATCAGGCCTGATGTATCTAATTATAACCTGTAAATTAAGCTGTTACTAATCTTGTCTACTTTGCATGATTGACAGAACAGTACAGATGAAGCATCCACTCCTTACTGCAGCTAATGGTTTCTCAGAACCAGGAAATGGCATTTAATCCCAGAAATACATACCATTTCTACATCAGAAACAGGTCCAAAACTGGTGACATATATATCTGTTTTGACTTCAGTAACAGGACCTAATGTATGAGAAGGAAGTGAGCGAGAAAAACTGAATTTTGCCGGTCAACAATTCCTGTAAATGATCAGTTTATCACTTTCAGCAAGGAAGAGCAAAATACAAATACAGGTCATTTCAGGTGAGTCTCTAGTAACAAGCACTGCCCAATTACCTTTACCACACAAGTAAATCAAAGGCAGCATTTCCATGCAAATCCCCATTCAGAAAACCAATGTTGACTCAACGGATAAAAAACCAGATGCCAAAAAAATTAAAAGGCTCACTGAAAACACTATGCTAATTAACAAGAACCAAATTCAGGAAATCCGCATTCTCCAAGGCATTTATTGTTAACATTTGGTCCTACTGGTAATAACTGGACTACATATATTAGCATGCCATGTGCTGGGAAATTTAGTACTGCAGGATCAAAACAAGCATCCACAGCCTGAGATGCACTTAAGCACTTTAATACTAACAATCAAAATAAAAGTTGGATATCTAAGCATTTTTGAGGGTCTGAACCTAGGTCCAGATGCTACTACAAAGCTTGTCTTGAAAAAACTAGTGATACTTAGGACACTGTCCAAAACAGTGCAACGAGGACAGGTCTTGCGCTCTCACAACTGGATGCCACACAGTAACCATCAGAGAAAGCAGTTTCATTTTAACATATCATTTCCTTTACCACAGGACAAAGCACCTTGAAATTTCAGATGGGTATTCACTCTACAGTTCACTCACAGTTCCCTTTAATCCAAAGGACACATGCACTAACTAATTTCACTGGGATATATATCTGTTCCCAATGTAAAAGGCTAGAAAGCTGCTAATCATTACCAGTTATTATGATGATTCTGTGATCAAAGAATTAACAGTTTAATTCAGGTAATTAATTCACACAAAAATTTTAAAAAAATCATAGTCTACTGATGGTCTTACCAAACCGTACTGTTTGAAAAAAAATTTATGATCTACAAACTCACAGACAAAGCTTCTTAAACAACTACAACTGAAATTTCTAAAGAGGATAAGTGGTTTGAGTCTGTTAATTCATAGATTTGCAATCTAAAAATGAAAAGAGGAAAGACTTAAAGACTGTTAGCAGCAGCAGAATATGTCCCTCTTGCAAAGGAAAAAAAAAAAAAAACTAAAAAAATCACTGATGTCACTTTGAATCAAATGTTAAAAGAGTAAAAGAAATAAGCAACTGGAAAACAGGGAACCTATACTTCTTCCACCTAGAACAAGTGTCAAACTGTGAACAAAAAGTAAAATAAAACCATGTAAAATTATTTCACTAAACAGTTTGCAAGTTATGTAGAGAACAGCTAAGAATTTTTCAGCTAAATGTCAAAAAAAATGACTTTACTGGAAGTTAAGTTTCACAGAAGGACATCTTTGCTAGATAAAATCTAAAGAAAATTCAACCTACAACAGTTGGTAGCTCAGTCATCCCTGGAGAGTTGAATAGTTTGGCATGTCTGTCTTTAAGAGGTTTTAAGAAACTCCCAAGTTCCAGATAACACGCTTTCATACCATGCTGTTTGTTTTGCAATGGGTTACTCTCTGAACATGTCAAATGGAAGTTGCTCGCCTTTCTACAATCTACAAAAAATGAAGTGTTTAATAGGTCAGGGAAATCCATGAGTGCTTAGACCCCTCATTTTACTGACAACATAGTCCAATTACATTTCCTGAATATAATTATTTCTGGAGAGCAGAAGAGCTCCAAGAGATTGAAAAAACTCTTACTAGAGCTGCCAAGACACTGGAAGTGAAGATATTCATCTGCAGCTCTAGAAAACAGGTGAGAAAAGCCCAATCATACTTGTACATAGAAATAGAAGTTATCCAATTGTCATCACAAGACTGTAATTTATCTAGGGTTGGTTTAAATATATATTTATTTCACCTGAATTTGAAACATTTCTGAAATCAAAGTCCTATAAAAATGAAGAAGCCATTTTTCCACATAGCTCTAATAAGAAAATGTAGGAATTAGTCTCTAGTCAACAATAAGAGAATACTGAATATTGCACTCAGTTCCTAAATCCCTTTCAGGAACTGTTTTATTTGATAGTTCTAAGAAACTAAATAGGAATATTCCTCAAAAACAAACAAACAAAAAAAAAACCCACCACACCAAACCTTTAACTGCTTTCCTCTGGCGACACCTTCTTTTCTTTAGCTCTCAGAACACTGTAATTTTATAATCATATCAAATTAGGCAAAGGGATAGATTTTTCCCCACAGGCATGAGCTGCTTCTTCTCAGGCATCGATTTCTTTTGTTTTATTAAATGATTACAGCTTCATGGGCAATAGCTGTTCAGAGATTTTTTGCAAGTTTATTTTTTGGAGTTTCTAGAAAGGAGAGCTAAGACCAAGAAGCTCATCTTCAAATCAGCAAGCCTACGATTCAATGCTATTAGAAATCCTATAGCAGCAGCAGAACAGAACTAAAACTATACTTGAGTTCACTCTTCAGCAACTGCTATTCTGCTCTCAAACCTTTATTTATTAGTAGGACCCATGAGAAAGAAGGAAGCGGGAATTCTCAGACAACAATGAAGCCACAAATTAAGGCTTAAAGTTTACCTTTGGGTGCTTGCCTGACATGATAGCAGTGCAGTGACAAAACAAATGGTAAGATCACATTTCAGGCCACTAGAAAATGGCAGATAACTGAGGATCAAGAAATATTTTAGGCATTGTAACAGTTATCCATCTAGTACTGACATCCAAATCCTTGCTTTGCATCCAAAACCTCCATCAAACATGAAAATGTTTGATAGGAGTGAAGACAGCAGCAAGGGACAGTGAAGCTGATTATCTCCCTAATGCTTTTTCTGCAATTGCTGCCCTGTCACGCTCAATGTCTTCCACATACATTGTCAGTTCAAAACTGTTAAGGCCAAACCTTGGATTTTCTAGCACATCCCAGTATTTAATTCCAACCCAGGAGTATCTATGGTGACACCAAAACCTATCCCTTATTCTTCTTGTTCTAGAAGAAAACATAACTCCAGTTGGTAACAATAGCGGGGGTACAAATAGTGAGTCATGCTGCTTTTTTTAACTATTACTAATCGTGGGAATTCCTGTCAACGAGGAGGTGATCTGTAGTCACCTAACCTACTTTTACTGGTGATTTAAGCAGCCCTCCAAAATGAAGGTGCTGCACCAATTAACCAACTCGGGCTCTGCAAGCAGAAGATCCTATTAGAATTCTTAACACTCTATTATTGGCAATAAAATGCAGCAAGGCGTAAGAAGGCAAATTAACTCTAAATATGACCACTTGGGCTTATCCCTCAATGGATATTCAGAAAGCATCTATCCACCATAAATCTTCAGGAATGCTGAAGAACTATTTATAACATACTGGTGTGTATTTTTATGTCAATGAAATAGGAGGAGAGTCCTACACACTGCAGCAGGAACAGTTAAGTCTGAATCACTGCTTGCAAGATAATATACTTTAAAGAAGCTCAGGCAGGATTAAAAGCAACGCCTGCAAAAAGCCAGAATAGTTCAGTGTTAGATAGAGATGTTACATGTGGGCTGAAGAAGCGATGCCAGGCCCTAACCCTGCAAAGAGGAACATAAGACAGCTCTCCCATGCATTTTATGCCAGCATATGGGTTGAACTGCAGCACAGCTCCCAGTGAAAGACTTTGGGCTCCATTATCCCTGCGTCTCCATAGGCAACTGTCGCTGCAGAGATCTCCACTGTATGTAAACAGTCAAATCCCGCACAGGCTTCCTGTATATTGCAAATTTAGCCACGAAGAGTCACACAACTGATCGGGAACATTAGCAGTCTTAATCAGTGCAGTTATTGCTGCTAGTATAAGATCAGTCCCAGGACACATAAACTACATGAAATTATATTACATCAGTTCCTACAGCTACATATAAAAGCTACATCTACATGTGAAAGGTTTGGGGCTTTCTCTTTCCAAATTCTTGCTGCCTGAATAGGGTTGATACCTTTTAAGTGAATAAAAAAAAAAATTTAAAGCCATCAAATGAAGCATGTTCTCTTGTTTCATTCTATCAGAAAGAACAGTTGAGGAACCTGCTACATGTAAGATTTCTGTTAGGAAGCCAGAACAGCTAGGTAGAGCATTTAAAAAAAAAAATAATGTGGAATTCAAACATGTGGACTGCATTCTCTACCAAAAGACAAATACAACAAATGCAGCAGCGCACAATAGCCTTTGTCTCTACGTATGTTCTTTCATCAGCATGTCTGAACCCTGCAAAGGGAAAAATATACCTCCAGAAATGAGGAGATTACTGTCTCTTTGCCTGTTCAGAAGTAGATAATCTCTACTGAGACAGCCAACAAGCTTGACACTTGTGCCAGTTTTCAATGATGTGGACACCTGTCTACTAAGAACTGGACTAAGAATATCAGCTAATTTTATACAGGTCACTGAACAACTGACAGATGGTAATGACTTCAAGCATTACTAACATGGGCCAAATTCAAATCAACCACCTGCAGGTATCTAACACCATATCCTGTTAAGCCTTTGAGTCATCTACTCTCACTAGCTGCTGAAGACTGGACAACAGCCCAAAAAAACCCCAAACAAACAAACAAAAAACGAACAAAAAAAAAACCCCACCCCACCTAATCAGCTTCACTTTACAATGCTTACTTCAAGTCCACTTGCAATCGGAAAATAAAAATAAATTACAAGATCTATCATGCTGAGCAACAGAACCTTGAAAGTACATGAGTTCCTAATAAGAGCAGATAACCACATAGATAATTTTCTTTTCTCTACAACCAGAAAATTGTCTTTGCTCTTCAACTTTATTCTGTGTTTACTTTCTGTCTAAAGTCACTCCTCCTGCATTGACAGGAAAAGAAACTCTTCAGAAATGCTGTTCATCAGCTGAACATCACACAGCCTAGAAAGGGCAGAGAAGCCCTCTCCTACCCTTAGGGGAGAAGATGGCCAACATACTTAAGTCCACCAGGTGTTCACAGGTATGAGATCAT